ACTTTATAAATCGGAGATATACACGAGTATGTGTTCCAAATTTCAAGTCTCTAGCTTCAATAGCGCCGAAATAGATTGCGTTCATACGGACAGATGGACAGACGGACGGACATTGCACAAAACCAATATACTCATTTCACATTCGTGAATGAGTCTAATTATTTTGATTAATTTCAGTTATTAAAAAATTATTTATTTTGTTATAATTTTATTTACTGTTCAATTATGATTTAATATGAAAATACGCACAATTGAGTGTACTTAAATATTTTGTTATATTAAGTTTATTAACTATATACATGAATATAAAAGCCTCGTTTATTTGAATTTTTCTTTTTTGAGCCTCGTTTAATAGAAATTTCGATAAATCGAAAACAAATAAGAACTAGTCGAGACTGCTCGACTAGGAGATACGCTGAACCCTCTAATCTGATATTCTAATCAGTCTGCACTTTTTTTCGACACACATACATACACAGGTACGTATTAGAACGCGCTCTGCTAACTGCGCAGTAAGCAGCGACTGCGCTTGGGCTGCGTTGCAATGTGGGCAATAGTATACGAATTTATTTGTTGAATAAATTAATTTTTAGACGTACAATTTCAATGAAACTTTCAGAGCGTAATCATATGATATATGAAAATGTATGTACATTCAAAAGCACAAGTCTCTAGTACTTGAAATCCAAAATCTTTTTAACTTTATATACAACGCAAATTTGAAGACTCCAGGTCTAAAAGTGTTCAAATTAGGCTACAAAAACAAAATCAATTTTTAGATTATTCTCGATACAAAAGTTATCGGATGATTTATCGAAAAAATAAAGCAAACTCGTACTGCGTACACAAGAGTATGTATGTATGCCAAATTTTAGCTGTCTAGCTCTTATAACTTCTGAGATCGACGAGATACGGACGGATGGACGGACAGACGGACAGGGCTATATCGACTCTGCTCGTCGCGCTGACTCAGCTGATCGCGCTTTATGGGGTCTGCCATGCCTCCTTTTGCCTGTTGAGATACATTTAAAACCATTATAAAACCATTATACCCTGATTTCCCATTGAAAATGGGTTCAGGGTATAAAAAACTGATCCCTTTGCCATTTCGAATTATATGTTGTTGACTGTATTACTATTTAAATGACTTCTATAAAAAGATTCATATGAGGCTATATGCAATTTCGCAACTGAAATACTCGTTGCGCTTCTAAGCATTAAAACGTGAAAAATCCGGAAAAAAAATCAGATATATTATATTTGTGAGCTACAATCGCAGAACATCGTATGGCAAATCCGAAAATGTTGAGCCGTGAAAGAGAACCTAGCCGTCGGTTCCATTTTATATATATGTATGTATATGTATATATTCCGTACAAGTTTATACTTTATGAAGTGGGAGTTATGATTGTATATCTAAAGAGAAATAATAATACTGGTCAACTCGATTTAATTTGATACACCTACACCTAATTGATAAGCCTACAAGGTGTTTTACAAAACACACTATTTAAAGAGCTTTTTTTTTAATTTAAATATGTTTTTATTCAATTCTCAATTACAATGCATTAATAACTAGAAAGATAGATCATATTATTTTCCCCTCTCATTGTTTGTGATAGGATCTGGCTGTAGGACACGCAGGGCAATCACATATGTAAATGAATATACATACTTGTATATCGGCTAGATAAGCTTGCTCCTTGGCAAGCAAGGAGGCAAGGGAATAGGTAAGGATTTGTCATATCATTATTAATATCTTTATAATAATGTCAATCACTAGCTCGATCATCATTCAATTACAATTTCAACTAAAAGATGAGGTTTGCATTAGTATCATTCCCTTCAATTATGCTTATCCTCTGCTGTCGAGCTTTCATATTGGCTAAATTTGAGCACCGAGCAACTTTTTAACACACATTGCCATAAGGAATTAAAAGAGAAATTACATATATATTTCTATATTTATATATATATTTAATTTAGGTTTGGTTGATCGCGCCTCACTTCTCCGACTTGCGCGCTTTGGCCTGGCTTGAAGCATTTGTTGGCTGAGATTTATCCGCCTTGCGGCTGCTGCTACGGGGCAAAGTAGTGCAGCTAGCGGACATGGACTTGTCCTGGAAAGAGACCAAATTGGGCATATGAGATGGGATATGGGCATTATCAGATGATAGTTGAGCACATGCTGAAATGCAAAAGATTTGTTAGTAAACGCAAAACACACAAACAAGACTCTGTACAGTGCGCAACGAGGGGAGTTTGAGTAGTAATGGGTAGCTGAGACGAGCGGATGAGTTCGGGTTTGTGTTTAGGCCTACGGCTTACATCAAATGGACGTTTCTTTAGCTGAGTCGCCGCTGACACTGGGCTCCTCATCGGACTGCTGATTAGCTTTGCGCAGCACGTTATCTTTGAAGCTCTTGAATAGATGGCCGATACCTGAGGACTTGCTGCGCTCCAGTTGAGACAGCGACTGCGTGGAGTGGAGACTCACGCTGTCAGCTGCACGGTAGTCCTTGCGAGGCGGCAAAGGCGGCACTGGGGGCGCTGGTGCACGTCCCTTGGTATGCTGAGCCTTGGGTCGAAGCGGCGTTGTCTCCGGCTCCAGCTGGGCGCGAAAATTGTGCTTGATCTCCTCCAGGGTGGCGAGCAACTCACGCGGGGAAACTGGCTGCGCTGTACTTGAAGCTCCTGCACTCACGGCCACATCAAAGCTGGATTCAGTGACTACCAATAAAAAGGGATCCACAAGAGCTTTGTAGTCCTCTATTTCAACGGATTCACTCTTACAGGCGTGTACATCGATTTCTTTTGCAATAGGCGCTTCATTGAGAGCTTCCTTAAAGGATTCTTCACTGTCGCTAAGCCGTTCTGTTTCCATTTGCTGCTCATTTGCTACATCCTTATTCGTGGATATCGGCATTTCCTCGCCAGCTGTTTTTGTGATTTCCATGACATCCATGGCCTCGTAGAACGTATCATGATCTACTTCTACTTCCGCTTCCTCCTCCTCCTCCTTCACCACCATCTCCACCTCCACCTCCATCTCCTTCTTCTCCTCATTGTATTTGTCATTCACTTCCTCACTCTCCGCAATCTTTAATTGCTTTTGTCTCTGAGCTTCCTTGGACTGCTGTGCTCTCATCACTTCAAAGTAACGCTCATTTTCCAAAAATACCTCAGAGCGCATTTCTCCCAGAATTTGCTAATCGAATTATAATAATAACTAAATAAATAAATAGTTCTTACTTCCGTCCAACTATTGAAAGCAATCTTATAAGACAGTTTAACCTGCGCTCAAGAATACGTATATTATAACTATTAAGGCTTTTTCCTCACTAAACATTCTCATTTCATACTTTTTCGATAGGACAGACTATTTAATATTCAAAAACAAAATAAATAAATTTAATAATAAATTTAAATTAAAACAAGTAAGAAAGCTCTAGTCGAGACTGCTCGACTACGAGATCCCCTGAACCCTTGGAGCAATAGATATTTCAATAATTTTTCGCGTCTTTCAGCTTACACAAGAAACACGCACACATACACACGCACACACGCATACACACACAAACGCATACACACACACATACACACACATACACAAACACACACATACATATACACACACAAGCATAAACACGCATGGGCGGCAGTGAGCGCTTACTATGAGAACTTAATTGCTTAATAACTTTTTTTTGTGGACGTACGATCTTCATGAAACTTTCAGATTATGATTATAACATGGATATGCATGTAATTGCCAAAGCACAAGTCTCTAGTATTTGAAATACGCTTTTNAATTGTATAAATTGCATATAAGCATACATTAAAAATTTGGAGACTCTAGCAATAAAGGTGTAGAAGATATAATTTTATAACTGGTTTTCGATAAGGTTTTTTATCGATAAAAAAAGATCGGGATGAGTTATCGATTTTTAATGATAAACTTGATATGCGCGCTGTAATTACGGACATTTAAAAAAATTTGAAGTCTCTAGCTCTTATATCTTCTGAAATCGACGCGTTCATACATACGGACATATGGGGTCTGCCACGCCTCCTTCTCCCTGTTACATACATTTCAACAAAACCATTATACCCTGATTTCCCATTGAAAATGGGTTCAGGGTATAATTAACATTATATTTTTTTCTTAACCCAAAATCTTAAAAAACATTTTATTTTTTAGTACAGTAAAATACATYGCTAGAGGAATGTCTGGGCACTACAATTTAAGATAGTTAATCAAATTCAATAATTTCTTATCTCAATCTAGATTATGTACTTGGGCTTGATATTCTTTTATAGCTACCTTTTTGTATGAATACTTAAAAAAAATCAATTACTAGTCATTCTCTATTCTCAGGATCGAAGCCCACAGAGAAAAGCAGGATATTCAGCAGGTATACCAAAAACTAAAATGGGCAAGGATCGAATGATTTTTTGTGTTATAGGATAAAGATTATCATCAATCGAAATGTCGATTCCAAACATTCAATAAATCGCCAAATATTATCATTTTACAACAAATCTCGATAAAGTCCTGGAACAAGTCGGTTTACAAAGTAAATTCAACTAAATTCTTACCTCGTTGCGCTTGGACTTCACACGCGCCTTGGAAGCATTTGTCATGGATGAGGTGCGACTCAGCCCGACGCCGAGTGGAGCGTTAATCGGCTCGGCACTGGAGTAGCCCGAGCTGATGTCATCCGTGCTGCGTATATTGTAGCTGAATGGATGTGCATGGAAGCGTGTTAAGTATGGGCGCAGTCGACCAGAATCGTGGGCTGTTCAAAAACTCACTTGAAATCGCCAGCATTTTTGCCCGCCGCCGCGGAGCCGGCGCTGACGTCCACCTCCGTGAAGTACATGCCCGTCGAGTGGCGCGTACCGCTGGCGGAGCGGCCCACTGGCGTCTGGTGGCGTTGCCGCAGGTGCCGCGCCGGCTGGGGACGCATCATCACCGACGACGCCGATGCCATCATGACATCGTCCAGCTCGTCCTGGGTCCGATGGACATCCGGCTCACTGAGATCGCTGAGGCTGTAGCTCCGCTTGATGGTCTGCACCAGATTGCCGCCGCCCTTGACGGAGGAAGTTAGAGGAAGAGAGAGAGGGAGAGAGAGAGAGAGCAAGGAGTTTGGCTTTGCATCATTTTGCGTGTTTATCAATTAGATCAATTAATTACAAACTAGACCGACTACAAATATGCATAATATTGATTTGATTTAAATAATAACTACGTCTAAGTGTCGCTGGTGACTGACGACGGCGGCAGACGACATTCTCGAGTGCCGCTGGGCTCACAGTGTGCGAAACTACTGAAAATTCGCTTAATTTTGTGCTTTTGCTCTTGCGTGTGGCAATTTGCTGAGTATCATGCGATTTGCTTGGTGTATATTAATATGCGAGCAGCTCCTCATCTTCCAGTCTGCTAATCTCCCTCGACGTCCACATCGGGTGTGGCATCGCGCAGCTTGCGGCGTCCGCGCACTGCCCCATCGCCCGACGGCAAATCGGCTGCCTTGGTCTTTGAGGAGCCACGTGTGGTGCGCTTGGACGGAGCCACAGCCGCAGAGCCTGCGCCGTTGTTGGCCGAGACTGTGCGACTCGAGCGAGTCTTGCGCACGGGCAGATCGCGCAGGCGGGCAGCACCCGCCTCGTTGCCACTCAGCTCTTCCTCGTCCAGCTCTGTGATGAGCACGCGCTGCTCAGCATAGCTCTCAATGCCATTCAGGGAACTGGAGCGCTGCAGCAGTTCGCTGGCGTCCAGCATGTCCTGATCCCTCGACAGGTCGCTGGCCGACTGGGAAGTCTGCAGACGGTGCACATCGGCCGCTACAGGCGATGCCAACTGAATGGTCTGCGTGGCGTACGTGGCGGGTTTGTTAGTATTGGCAGGCGTTGCAGGTGTGCGAGTGTGCAGGTGTTGTTCGTTTTAATTGTTTGTAAGTCAAATGCAAAGAAACGTAAGTGAGAAACGCAAAATAGGAAAAAATTATAGTTAATAAAAAAAGGCGAACTCAAAGGTGTTTAAAATGAAATATGTGTATGAAACCAAAGTGCAAATAAAAGCAGGACAGCATACAGACACACACACACACACACACACACACACACTCACACATACGCACAGGCAGACATACACTCTTTTAGCCTGGCTAAGACGAATTATCGGACGCATGCCAATCCCCTATCTATTTATATGCCCTACCCAGAGGCACTACAATAAATGCATCTATATACATACATATGTATATGTATGTATTATATATTGAAATAGAATACCTAATTGCTACAACTGAATGCGCTCGCATTTGTAGAAAAAATGGTTTGAATACATAACAAGGCAATCATGAATAAACTAAAATTTTGTTGATAATACGATCAACGCCTTTTCACTATGAAGACAAACTGCAACACTATACCTATTCATACTGAACTAGAATAGTAGCTAGTTTACCTCAATCCACTCATACTATGAAACTAAAAACTAAAACTGTATTACATTAGAAAGCTATTAATAAAATAAGCGAAATCGAATGGTGAATGGAGTTATTGAGTTATATATGTATCCATACATAAGTTTTAGCAGCTTTTGCTCAAAATTAGTTACATATCGCAATGATTTATATTTTAGTAGAAAATAAATGGGAGTCCGATCAAGATAAGAAATATGGTACAAAAATAATCATATCTTTAAATGCCTAAACAATGTGAATTGTGTGCTATACAAAGGTTCTATATA